CTAGTGCCTTGCAAGCAATTTCACTTCATGAGTCTTTCTTTCCACACCCAAACTGCACTCAGGACCGAGACACTATATAAAGTCTGCCCCAGCCCCCAGGACTGAGAAGGAGAACCGGAAACTGGAAGAAAATGAAGCTAGAACGTAGCCACTATTGCTAATTTGAGGGGTGACGGTATGGAGAAGACCAAAGTGGATATGAAGCAGACTGAGAAAAACGTGCATAAAGAGTGAGAGTTATTTGTTGAAGGATCTCCATGTCTTTCTCCAGAATGGGGAGTTGAACTCATAGTTTTCCAAAATCCCTCCTCATTTAAAGTCCTAACTCCATGTGTCATACTCCTTGAGTCAGGATTCATGGCTCGGGAGTTAGGTTGCCTTTCCATTCCTCACAGTCTCCAGAGAGAAAAACTAACTAGTTCTGTTTGTCTGTCTGTCTGTTTTGTTTTATTTTCTCTTTAGTCTTTGGCTTGCGCATGACAGTAAAAGTTCCTTCTCTCTTACTTAGGGGGGATGCTGACTCATGGGGGATGCTTATATCCAAACTCCTCTCTCTCGAGAAAAGTGACCCTCATATTGTGGCTCACCTCTCTTCTTTTTCTCCTCTTCCGCCTCCTCTTTTTCCTCCTTCTTCTCCTTCTTATTTATTTTGCAAATAAAGTCAATGATACCAGCGCAATGATAGCACCTAGTAAACCACTAAACAAAAGAGCTAAAATACACGGTTCCCAGAACAACTTCGGCCCTTCCTGCTACCTAGTAGTTCAGGCTGTTTTATTTAAAATTTAGAATCCCCATTTATCTCAATGGGAACTACCAAAAATGCCCACAGAGGGATCTTCTAGTTCTTGGGTTGTCGGAGAGCAGGTGATTAATTGATTGTCCCACAAGCAGATTCCCAGCCCACCCCATGCAGCTTTAGAGAGCAAGATGGCGGAAACATAAGTTGGGGAGTCCTCCATGTAAAAAGAGTCAACTCTACTCAATGCTCTGTGGTGACCTAAGTGGGAAGGGAATCTAAAAGAAAGTGGATAAGTGGATCTATGTATATGTTTAACTGATTCGCTTTGCTGTACAGTAGAAACTAACACAGCATTGTAAAGCAACTATATTCCAATAATAATTAATAAAAATATAAAATAAAAAGAGTCAAGCAACCTGGCTGGAGGGAATGGTCCCAACGCAGTAACCGACACTTCCTACGCAGAGGCTACCCTACTTCTCTTTCCACTGGGACCACATAAACTAAATTTCAAGGCTGAAGAGAGGCATGGTCCCTCAGCAGCTCTGAAGCTGCATTCAGCTCTAGGAAAGGAAGCTTGGAAGAAAGTACAAGCCCAGGCTTTCCCTGAATTCGAGAATAGCTGGGGCTGGGAGTGGAGGGCTCATCCCAGCTCCCAGGAATCTTAAAGAAAGGTTCTCTGTTAATCCTCATCTCTAATCCTTCCAACTGTTCCTACAATTGAGATAACAGTTCCTAGGTCTGTTAAAACAACAGACACCGCATCTTTGTGAACTAGTCAAGAAGAAACCCAATGGCCTTATTCTACAGATACCTCCAAGGCGGTTGTACAAACGTGCGCTTCAATCAATACTCATTAAGATGGTTTTATATACAAAACACCTAAATAACGAAATCAATCTGCTATGTAGAATGAAAGTGAATAAGGACAGAAGAACCAGGGGGAAAAAACCCACTGAGGAGTTAAAATAATGATCATAATGCTCTGAACTGACTCTCAAAGAAGAATTCTTCATGGCCTCAGGCAGCACCATTTTAAAAATTTGTCTATTCGCAGTTATTTTTTCACATACTTCTAATAAAATTGGTTAGTTGCTTTTCTACCACATAGTTGATTAGAAGACGTATACACCTAAAAGGTAAAGCTTGGAGGGGATGGAAGACAGGCAGATCTCACTCAGAATGAAATTATGGGCATTGGGGGTCTAGTGAGAGGGTGATGAAGAAGAGAAACGTTGAGTGACTCAAGAACTGTGCAGCAGGCTGGGGTACTTTTGCGTAGAAGCAGAAGTCTACATAGTCTACGTAGGTCCAGTAGCTTCTAAAAGAATCAGTTGATTAGAGCAGAGTGAAAAATTGGAAATTAAAAGGAGGATCCTAAATTACCAAAAAGTAAAATTAAAATATGTTCCAAATCTCCTAGTGGGAACATATGGCAGATTGCAACGTGTCTTCTCTTATTTTCAGTCCACATCATTGATTCCAGGGATGTCATTGATTCCACTGTGATGTCAGTTGTTTTCTGTTGCCTCCAATGCACATTTAAAATTCCACCATGACGCTTTGAGATTTCTTATGCTCTGTTCTTCTCCCAAGGGACTCTCTTTGCCCCTCTGCATTCATCTTAATCTCTTGCCTCTCATGTACCACCTTGATTCTGTTTCACAGAGGCTGTTTCTAGGACTCGCCTTGGACTTCTTACATTTTAAACTTATCTTAGAAAATATAACTTTTAGAGATACACTTTTTCTTTGAGTCTCCAGAGCAAAACTTCCTTTCCCTTAAGCGAAGCCCCTCAGGTTAGTGATTTTTAAAAATTATTTATTTGTTTATTTGGCTCATCCCAAACTGGGAGGAATAAAACTAAACCTATGCTTTTTAGGAGCCAGAGTCAATAGCGTCATAGTCACCACCCAGGTTCCCTGGAATACTGGCCACAGCCATTCATTCACTGGGGTCAGGTTTAATTTTGTCCTGCTCCAACAAGTGGGTTCCCTGCCATTAGTTATGCTACTTTTTCTCACGCAAATAAATAATCCAGAATGAAACATTTCTCCTGCCACCACTTTTATTTCTGCATCTCCCTGGGTTATTTCCATGTCTTTAAAAGCAAGCAGTAGTACAGAAGTTAATGGAAGCCCGAGCATTGAGCAGGCTTCTAGAACTTCCACGTTTATAATAAATTTTCCACAATGTTTGTGGATGGTCACCTACCACTCTCATCAGTGAAACTACTGGGACTTCAAGTGAAGCTTAGACAGCGAGGGTGAGTCTCAAAGCTCTGTATTTGTGTGTGTGTGTGTGCATGTGAGAGAGAGTACGTGCGTATGTATGTGCACTGAAATACTTATGTGAGAGAGAGAACTTGATAGGTTCAGACTTTTCTCTAGATTATTTGAACTGTGGGGCCTGTTTGGTTTTGAGATTGTGCTTAGAATTCTATTAAATCTATTACATAAACTCAGAGCATATGGTTCTACAGTCCTCTGTTAAATTTATGTTGTTTTGCTAATTTGTCTTTTTGCATCGTCAAAGGTATTTTAGTAGAAAGGAATATCAAATCTATATAGTCTGTGGCATTGCTTAGAAATACATATTCATATTTTGTCTATGCTGTGGAAGAATTTATAAGTCACAGAGATTATCTGATCTTCAATAGTTTGAGAGAACCCATCAGTGAAATTGCTTGCCACATTAAAGCAGTACACTTTCATTTTCTTCTGTGGTTACTCGTCTATGCAATTAATTAGCAGGACTTTTTTTTTTTCCTGGAGGCAATTTCAGTTATTTCTATTTCTTTCCTAAATAATTGATTTTATCAATAATTTTATCATTGTGTTTACCTCAAGTTGTGCACTATAATTGGATTCTCTTATTTTTAAACGTTCTCTGTATTTGCAATTATCCAGTATCTCTTTAATTTTCCTTAAGGGTGAACGGTGATTCCTTTTTTTTTTTCTTTAATAAGATTATCGGAAGTTGATCTAGTTGATCTATTTTATTTACTCTCGATATTCTATGACACAGGGGGCACGGGTGGGGGGAGACCATTTCCTGCAATGATCTATTTCTTCTATTGATAATTATTTTCTATTTCAATTTCTTTTTGTTCCTATTTTCATCATTTGCATTTACCTAGTCTCCCTAGGTTAGTTTTGGGTTCTCAGTCTAACATTTTAAAGAGACTGTTAGCTTACTTTTCTTACTTCCTATGAAATAAGGAATTGATTTACTATATGAATTTGCCTTGGAGTAAAGCTTTAGCAGTATAACATGTGTTTAAGATGGCATATTCTTACTTTTATTTTCTTTCTAAGTAATTAGCAATTGACTTCCTATCATTCATCAACCCAAAATTGTTTACAGAGAAATTTTACTGTTCGTTATTATTTGTTTCTTTTTATTTTTGATTTGTATTTATCCGGCGTTACATTTGGAGAGTTGATCTTACAAAACATCTGCTTTAAGGAATTTATTGTGCTTACTGTTGTGGCTCGGAATAAGATATAATTTTATAAATCTTCTGGTGAAACATTTTAATATATGAACAGTCTTATTATTTTAATTTGTCTATGTACTTAGTTATTTTAGTCTGTTTTGTCTGCCTTGAGTAAGAGAGGTGTGTTACTGTCTCCCTAAAGCAACATGTTTCCTTAGATTTCCCATTTTATTTCTAACGTTTTTAGTTTTATGTATCTTGACGCTATGTCATTTGGCTAATAAATTTTCATGGCTATTTTATCTTTACCATGGATTGTAAAATGACACTCTTTGTCTCCTTTAATATTATTTGGCCTGGAATAAAGTTTGTTGGAAACTAAGGTTGTCAGTGCTGCTTTCTCTGTTTTTGCATTTCCTCAGTAGTATATTTTGCAACCCATATTTTTCAACTTCTTTGGCTTTTGGTTTAATGTAGCCTTGAATGGGATTTTACCGTTGAACATAATAGGAGAAATGTGGTCTTCTCAATTGTTGGAAAATATTGTTAATCATACGGAATCTTTTACAATGATCTAAAAATGCTGACAGACACCTTTCATCGGCAGCCCGCACACCCCTCTCCGTGTGGTTTCCTCTGGGAAGCAAAGCTGTGAACTGTCAGCCCTTCATTTCACTCCTGGCTACTGGGTGGAATGTCTTGGTTAAGCAAGCATGCCTCTAGGCTACAGAGTCAGCTCTATGAGAACATAGGTAAAATGAGAGGTAAATAAGATGTTACTACTAGGTAAAACCTCAGAGCTTACAATAATTCTATTACCTGTTGGGGACCTCGCTACGTATTTTTCTTCCCTCTGCCATCTTCTCCCGGACTCTCAACGGGGACAGTGGAGCCATAACAGCATTGTGTTGCTATGGGGATAAAATATGAGAAACTCATGTTACAGATTTTAGATAGCATCTTCCGTCCAAGACAGGTTAAGACAAGGGCTTTGCCCGTCTACAAGGCCATGGGAGATATCAAGAGTCAAGTCACTATATGACTCCTACATGGCAAGTTACTATTATGTCCCAGTTACTATCTACCAAGAGATCTGCTCCAAGCACTTTGTATGTACTTAAAAGGACTGTGTCTCAGTTTTCTTATCTGTAAAAAGAGGATTAAATGAGGTAATGAGATGCATATGAAGAGTTTGCTCCCTTGGCCATCTTGTTTTATATCAACTTTCATACTGTTACCATTACCTCTCTTAACTTTATTTTATTTATTTATGGCTACATTTTGCTTATTTTTCCCCAGTACTTTGGAAAGAACTCATCCTTTTAAAATTTTTGCTTTGGTTGACTTTTATAGATTTGGATCATAATTTTCTCTGACCCGTAAGATTTAATATCAACCCTCACCCTCTTGTACGACGAGCAATTGAAACTGTTTTATTTTTCATGCCCCCTTTATAAATTCATTTTCCATTATATTAGTACTGTATAACTGAGAATTATACTTTTGAGAATTATACTGGTATTTACATTCAAGTTGAAAGGATATTTCCAGCTTTTGACTTTATATTGTTTTCTTTTCTCACAGTCACACTTAATGCCATGGTTTTCCCATTCTTGAGTCACAAGTTTCAAGTCAGTTTCTCTGTTGTGTACAGATCGTATTCAAGCTCTTTTTCCCTCAAATAAGATTTTATTGGTAACATATTTTGGAAGTTTTTCAATTTCAATATGCTTTTTGTTTTGTTTTGTGTTAGTGTAGGTTTTTTTTGAAGTTTTGGGTTTTGTTTTTGGTGGTTGTTTTTGCCTTCACCCATAAATGGTCATTTAGTTGGTTAGAACACTCTTGGGTCACACGCTTTTCTCTGAAAACACTGTACAAGTTGTTCCATTTTCTGGCATTTACTCTGCCCTTCTAGGTATAGATCTTTTTTTCATTATCTCTTTTTACAGTACAGTGGCGATATTTGATCTCCATATTTAGATCCTTTCGGCTTCAGAAAATTGTATCTAATTATACCCTTGATGATTGTTTTCTTTCAATTGCTCACTTTTAATCTTTAGAAATATCTAAAACGCATGTGTGTTATATCCATTCTCTGTCTCTTCATCCTTTTCTCATGTTTTGCTCTGTATTCCTCTGACATGTATTGGCTATTCAATAAACAGTCTTGAAGGAAAGAAAACGAAGGAGGGGAGGGAGGGAGGGAGGGAGAGAGGGAAGGAAGGATCCAGTTTGGAGACATGTTTTCAAGTTTATCCTACTCAGCTTGGATTTGACTTTCTCATCATTTCTGTCTTCACTGTGGGTAGTTACTGGTTCACCTCCCTACAGCTGAGTGTTAGCTTCCTTGGAACTTATTCTTATATCACTCACTCCATTGTTCTCATATCAGTCTGTATTGTAGTTATTTCCAAAAAGGCTTCCAAATAGTGTTTTGGGATCCCAACTTCCTGTATTTCACCAAACATTCCATATGTTTCTCTCCACACCCAACTTGTATACATAGCAGCTTATTTTCAAGGTGATGTTATTTCTTTCTTTGTTCTGCACTATTTCCCAATCACCCCCTTTGACTTATATTTTTTTATAAAAGTTCTTGAGTGATGCCACATGGAACTGCTAGTCTGTAACAGGTGTTCTTCCATTGAGGTATGGAGGGACCAAGGTGAGATCATCCCCTAGTCCATCTGTTTGGTTCTCTGACACTTGAAACCAATGACTCAATAAAACATAGGAATCACCTGTATTGTATGCATTGCTGCCAGGGCTTTCCTGTCTTTGCCCCAGTACAGCCCTTTCCCTGTAGGGGTGATGGCCCCTCAGATATAAGGGAACTCTGTCTGTCCTCACTGATTGCTTTCATTTATTTATTATTTACTACGTCTGTAAGTAGATATCGGTGGGACTAAACAAGACGTAGGAGAGTCAACTGTCCCTGTCAAGAACAAGTGCTTTAAATAAATGACTAAAACTACTTTCACGATTGGTATAAATCCTGGGTCTCTGAGCCAAGTAGAGACAGTGTGACACTGTGAGTGTGTGTGTGCACATGTGTGTCTATGTGTCTGTGTGTATTGGATGAAATGGAAAATAAATTTTACCCTACATACTTCCATGCATGCAAAATATAGCACTGTAATATATTACTGTAAATAAACAGTAATATATTACTGTAAAATATAGTACTGTAATCTATTGTTTTTCTTTTTCTCCACTTTTAATTTAGCATCTGTTAATCCCAGAATATATTTATTCTGATAAAAAATTAACCTGGACTGTTAGCTCCCTGAGGACAGGGACTATGTACTTGGTTCACCAGTGAATCCGATGGCCAAGCCCATATAAGATGTTGACTGAATAAACAAGTGATTAAACAAAGGTTGGGATGAACCAGACCCACATATTTTTTAATATCATGGACAAAAATCTCCATTTCTTTCTACTTATTCTATTTATTTTAGTTTACAAATATGTTGCTCAAATTTTTAAATGAGAAAGTTAATCCTACCAGCATCCAGCATATGGTAATGATTTTAATGGAAATTTTTGGTTATTCCTCTTTATAAATTGCAATATTTCCATTTCGCATGTGTGATGATAAAAGTGTTAAAATTCACAGAATTATCTCACATGATATCAAGAAGCTTGGTACGCACATTAAAAAAGTAGCAAGACTGGGACTTCGCTGGCGGTCCAGTGGTTAAGACTCCGTGCTTCCAATGCAGGGGGCGTGGGTTTGATCCCTGGTCTGGGGAAATAGGATCCCACACGCCATGTGGTGCGGCCAAAAAAAACAAAAAGCAGCAAGACTATTACGGTTTAAAAAAAAAAAAAAAAACTTTTTCTTTTTCATCAGAGTCATTAAAGGACATTTGGAAAACAAGAGAAGAAAATATTCCCATAATCCCAAGACTGAAGTGGTGTCACTAGTAACATCTCGATATGTTTCCTTCATATCGAGGCGTGGTTCAACGAGGCGCCTCATGCCCGTGGGTGTGAAGTGACCCACCAGCCTAAGTCTAGTGGGAGGGTCGAATGGTGGTATTTAGGAAGAGGCATGGAATCTGCAGCCCTGCAGCTGAGACGTTCCCTTTATCATTCTTTCCCATTTTGAAAAATAATTGCTGCTACCAAAAACCCTCCACCGCTCTACATCCCACGGCAATCAAAGGGAAATCAGATGAGGGGGCAGAAATGAGAGGAAGCTGCATGGGACAAATGGGAGATGTGGTTGCACGTGGCAGGGCACAGAGGAAAGCAGAATGCCCTTCAAACAGGGTTTTGTAACAACTTTGTTATTCACATTCTACCAATTTAACAGTTTCTAGTAACAGAAACTTGACAATTCTGCAGCTCACAATTACGGGCCTGATCCATGGAAATGTTACCTTAGGGCAAAACTATTACGTGTCCAGAAGGGTGTGAGGAGAGAACTTGGCTGGCAATAATGAGCCATCTGAGCAAAAAGATAATTCTCCTAGTAAACACGGGCTAGACCTCTCACTGTGTGTCATTAATAAGAAGTTGCAGCTTTTTATTAAGGCGCTGCTTTACAATATTCAGAGGTTATCTGAATCGTGGACATGCCAGCCACCTAGAAATCTCTATAAAGCTTTCACTTCAGATTGGGTTCAACCATGCTAACCCATCTGTTGAGGGCCATTGTTAAATCTTAAATTAGATCCCACCCTTCACCCTCAGCTTCCATACAACCTGTACTATTAATTATAGAAATCCAAGTCAGGCCCAAACCTATGGGATACAGGTGTAAGATTCTGACACCCAATGTAGACAGAGCAGATTCAACACCTGTCACTCGCTTCACAGAAAAGGGCTCTTTCCAAGGCCTTCCTGTGTGAGTGCGTGCCGAGTTCTACATATTTTTAGACGTAATTAGTGGTGTTTACTTTTTGTTGTTAAACCTTTCAGTATGTATTATATGGCATTTTGCTTCTTTCTGTTCACTTAACACATGATCAAATAGCTCCATTTATTAAATGGGCTTCAAAGCCATCGTTTTAATTACTGCAAGATTCCCCATGCAATGTACACACCATCATCTATTTCCTCCACCTTTGGAGATCTAGACTGAAGAAGCTGCTTTGTATAATCCCCATGTGAAATACTCTCTGGAAAGGTTTAATGATTCATGCAAAGGGTTTAGACTTTTTGATATTGCATGAAGACAGATATCATCCATTGAAAAAAAGAAATGTACCAATCAGAATTCTGTTTTATGTTGCTATTTTTTTTTAGCACAACCAACCAACTCTCTATTCTTCTGTTTACATAAAATAGCTACTTATAGAGTATAGCGATTACATAAGCAGCTACCTCATATAAAGATGCCAGGGGATCGGGTACCACGTCAGAAAGGGGTCTTAAGTCATAAAAGGGATGGCCCCAGCCACACACACTTCTCCTGTGGTTAGTTATTGTGTATTTTAATTCCTGACTCACATCAAGATGTTTTCTGAGAGGACCCAGTCCTGGAAGCTGGATGGAAGAATTGAAGATATGTGGGGACGAAGAGGGAGGCTCTAACCAGAGACTGTTAGGCCTCCTCTTTTCAAAACAACAAGAAATGATGACTCTCCTCCATCATATATAATTTAGCTCTGAGGTTTGGAAATTTCCGAGTAAAATGAATAAAAAATAAGATGTGCAGTCATGTGAAATACCTTTGGTTAAGCTGCCCTGAGAATGACTAAATTCAAGACACAAGTGTGGGGGGGGAAGGGTGAGGGTAGACACATGCATTTAATACGCAGTACATACAGATAGTTCTCCAGACAAGGGAGGGTGGGTCAGCAGGGGGCGGCATCTTCCCTGAGGGGGAAGAGTATTTTATTACAGACACTGTTTAAAAGGGCAATTATGTTATTACTTTAAAATTTTCTATCCACAACACACCCCCGTACTACCTGCACTCAGGGCAGACCACTCTCATTTACCCAACCTTGGTGTGCCACCAGCTTTCAAATACAGTCCCTATTATCCTTACGAAACAAAATCAGCTGGATTAGTTACTAACCCCATTTCAAGGAGACGAAGCTGAGAGTCTGAATTTAAACAACTTGCCCTTGGTCATGCAGCTAATAAGAGGTCCAGTCAGGATTTGAACTCAGAACATGCTGACTCAAAAGCCTACCTCCTCTAAAATATGCTGACTGCACAGGGCTGATGGCTAGAGCTTTCATTCAGAGATAAAGAAGAAGCAAGAAGCGTGAGAGGGGAGAGAAAGGGAGAGCGCTACAGAGTGACTGCTTTTATAGTTTTTGGCCTAAGATCTTTCCCTTCTTACCTCATCATATTATTTTTTCTGGTTACCATCTATTGTGGGCTGAACTGCGTCTCTCCGAAATTCATATATTGCGGTCCTAACCTCAAGTATCTCAGGATGTGACTATATTCGGACACAGGGTCTTTAATGAGGTCATTAAATTAAAGTGAGGTCATTATGGTGGGCCCATTCCAGTATGACGGGTGTCCTTGTAAAAAGAGGAAATTTTGACACGGACAAGTCACTAACACAGAGGGAAGCCCATGTGAAGACACAGGCCACATCTACAAGCCAGGGAGAGAGGTCTCAGAAGAAACTGACCCTGCCGACACCATGATCTTGCACTTCCGGCCTCCAGAACCTTGAGAAAATAAATGTCTGTTGTTTAAGCCACCCAGTCTGCAGTATTTTGTTATGGTAGCCCTAGCAGACTAATATACCATCATCAGACTTACATGGAGGCTGCACTTTGGGGGCCGGGGTGGGGGGTGGCGGGGTGGTGTGCCCCATGCTGAGACCCCTCAAAGCCACTCTCTCAGTGTGATCCATTAGCTGGGTTCATTTAGCTCCACAGGAACTGGTTTACAGGATCAAGCCAGGACACACATATGTGTGCCCAAGGGAGCGATGGGGTTGGCTTCCAATTGACATTCCTATAAGGGTGCTACCCCACCTTTCCCTTTTGTCAAACAGATATTTCCCAGAAAGTTGTATTAAATGTGCACTGGCAGAGATGACCCCCATTTGGTAGCTACTGAATCAGGGCCTTAACCAAACATGAAATGACAGAACGGTTTCCAGAGGAGGATTACTTGAGCCAACTCAAGGCAAACACAACGCATTCTGGCATTGCTTTTGACAGACGGAAATAAAACAAACATTAGCAAATGGATTGTAGCTAACAATATGCAAAATTAAAGAAGGTACCTTTTTATCTTTGCCTGGGAACCCACTGGCTTTTCTTAAAAAATCTGCAGAAAGAAAAAGACAGAATTGTTAATCTCATTACACAACCAGTTAGCACATGCAAACAAGGGGAATTATAAGCCTTTGCATTCAGGGGAGGAAACGGATATCTGACACATGTATTTATTAAGGAGACTGGACTGGAAAATAGTACTGCTGTATTAATCAGAAATGGTGTAGAAAATACTTAAATAATACAACAGAATGTGCACAGACAGCATAAGCTGCTTACAAACGGAAGCCTAAGGTCTAAGTATTTTTATTTGAAGATTAAATTTTCAATTAATTTTTTTCAGCTTGTTGCCATCTCTTCCAAGCATCACTGTTAATTGCTATAAAACAACGTCTCTCCCTGTTTGAATTCTGGACATGGAGGCCAGAAGCTGTCAGCCATCTCGTGGGCCTCGGAGTATCAGGGCAGAAATCAAAACCACTGGGTAGAGGCTGAACCAGTGTATCAGGGTCGAGAAGCCGACTGATCAGTTAAAAACCCCTTTCTTCATTTGCTCAGTTTTTCAAAAGTTACATTTATAAGCTCTAGCGTGTCACTGAAGAGGGCAAATAGAAGCTTTCTATTATTGGGAATTTCCAAATATCCCAACCTCAGGGGGTCTGTGGCAGACCAGGGTCTATATGCACACTCAGTGGATCAGCGGAGAAGGGACCACTTGCATCCTTCTTCTTTAGAATGAACAGTATACATGTCCCTGGCTGCAAATGAGCTTGTCCACTTCTGCCGGGTTCACTGGTGCTGGAGCTCTCTCTTCTAGCTAACACTCTCATTGTCTGGGATGATGGGAAACAGGAGTTAGAAAGCAAGTGTATGCTTAAGACTTGGGGTCGGAAATAGGGTTACACCTTGAGTCGAGGACAGGATTAGAATGAAAGTTTGGGGTGTAGATGCGTTCACATATGTTTGGGCTTGAGAGTCAGATTTAAATTTGAGGATGATTTTAAATTGAGAATAAAGGAGAATAATGGCACTGAGGATCAAATGGGTAGCATTATGTTTAAGTTAAAATAGTCCAGTGTGAGAAAGATAACATGGATGTTTTAAAATAAGGCAAATCTAATTTTATAACCCAGATCCATCACTTAATACTTATGTCATCTTGTATAAGTCACCTAAATTCTCAGCCTCAATATTTTCATCTGTAAAATGAGAAGAGTGTCTATGTTGTACCTTCTTGAAAGAAACAGTAAAAAATAATGGATAGATGATAGATTAGATCGATTTTGTTCCCCTTGTCCAAGGGGACATCTGGCATTGCTTGGAGACATTTTTTTTTTTTTTTTACATCTTTGTTGGAGTATAATTGCTTTACAATGGTGTGTTAGTTTCTGCTTTATAACAAAGTGAATCACATATACATATACATATGTTCCCATATCCCCTCCCTCTTGAATCTCCCTCCCTCCCACCCTCCCTATCCCACCCCTCCAGGCGGTCACAAAGCACCGAGCTGATCTCCCTGTGTTATGCGGCTGGTTCCCACTAGCTATCTACCTTACGTTTGGTAGTGTATATATGTCCATGCCTCTCCCTCGCTTTGTCACAGCTTACCCTTCCCCCGCCCCATATCCTCAAGTCCATTCTCTAGTAGGTCTGTTTCTTTATTCCCGTCTTACCCCTAGGTTCTTCATGACATTTTTTTTTTCTTAGATTGCTTGGAGACATTTTTTTTTTTTTTTTTTTTTGCTTGGAGACATTTTTGATGGCCACAACACGACTTGGGTGAGGAGAGCTACCAAAATCTAGTGACTAGAGGTTCAATATTCTGCTACACACCCTACAAGCACAGGACATGCCCCTGAGAATCACCCAGCCCAAAATGTCAATGGTGCTGATACTGAAAAGCCCTGGATTTGATAGGTCAACAGATGATGGAAGACAGGTAAACAGCTAATGAAGAAATTGATCTTGGAGATTTACAGGTCATAAATCTATAGATAAATCGATTGATCGATAAGACGAGAGATATTCTGACATGGGAGACGCTCAGCATTCAACAAATGGAAGGGGCTTCTGATGAAATCTGAAGATGGGATGAACACCACGAGGGTTAGGATAAAACAGTGGATGTGGCTAAAGGTGAAACGATATATTAGCAATGAAATCGTGTCAGCCATCACGCTAAGTGTTTTGTATTCTTATCGCATTTGAGATAGGGGTTCACCCAATTCTATGACTAGGGTTACTATTAGAACTACGGATCAAGTAAGGGTTGGGATCAGGGCTGGAGCTGGGGAACAGCCCACTGCAGGCCCTTCCCAAGGAACAGCCAAAGCTCACTCATTATTTTGGAAACATGCAGACAGCCCTGCCAGCGTCAAGTATCCTAATCTGAGTCAACTGCAGTTCAAGGAGACGAGAGAGGCAGAGCCTGCACAGGTCAGGCTGATGTGACACGCACAGGTCAGGCTGATGTGACATGCACAGGTATGTGATGTGACACGCACGGGTCAGGTTGATGTGACATGCACAGGTATGTGACGTGACATGCACAGGCATGTGATGTGACACGCACGGGTCAGGCTGATGTGACATGCACAGGTATGTGACGTGACATGCACAGGCATGTGATGTGACATGCACAAGCATGCGATGTGACATGCACAGGTATGTGATGATGTGACATGCACAGATATGTGATGATGTGACATGCACAGGCATGTGATGTGACATACACAGGTATGTGATGTGACATGCACAGGTATGTGATGTGACATGCACAGGTATGTGATGACGTGACATACACAGGTCAGGCTGATGTAACATATACAGGTCAGGCTGATGTAACATACACAGGTCAGGCTGATGTGACATACACAGGTCAGGCTGGCCCACCCACAACTGATAGAAACTGCAGCACACTGATGACCCAGTTCTACACCAGTCTTTGTATCCAAGTCCATGAGGAAGGAGCCGGAGTAAGCTGGAGGGATCTGGGTTTCATGCAAAGGGAGAAAGCTACAACGTTCCAATACTAAATCTACTTTGAGAATAGGCAGCGGTTTGTTCCATACGTATTAAGAGAATAGAAGTTTCTGAGGTTCAAGTGCTCTACTTTGTCCGCAGGAGCGGCAGGCAGCTCCGAATCTACAGGAGGGCCTTGGAGGGGCCCTGGGAGCACTGGCCACCTGTAGGCACATCTTACCCTCAGGAAGTGGGATCGGCATAACCACACCAAAGTTTCAAGAAGACAGATGTGGAATGTCATCCTACAGAAGAATGAAGAGACCTAAAATATTGCACAGTGGCCTGGCTGGGGAAAGACTGCTCGAACAGAACGATAACTGTCTGAATGGAACGTGGCAAAGGGGAGAAGAGAGGAACAGACTTGACAATGACTCACCTGCAACATCCAGGCGGAGGGTCACTGGATCTGAGAGACATTAGCAAACTGGTCCATAAACAGCATCGCCAGTAAGTGGGTGGTTTGGTTCACAGGCCACCTGAGCGGCTGTTGTGAAACATCCTTGACACCATCCATTACCCAATGTTCTTATCCAGGCACACCCGGAAAGTGGGTTCCTGGTTATTCAGCGCAGAAAGTCAAAGCCCTGGTGGGGCAACAAGAGCCTCCTTGTTCCTGGGAAGAGCAGCTTCTTCATATAAATTATAGACTGAAAATTGGTTTGAACATGTCTCTTGAATCTAATTTCCAGGGCAACTCCCTGGGGGCTCGATTTCCTCCCACGTTCTGCCAAAAAGTCTTGGTGAAAAAGGAGACGTCAAAGTCTGAACCACACCAACTTTGCTGTTATACTCCTGATGGGTTTCTAAACAAACAAACAAACAAACAAAAACAACTTTAGTGAAGTAAGATCTATATATCATAGTGTTTACTCATTTTAAGTGTGCAATTCAATGAATTATTTTCTAATTAACTTACATAGGGTGCAACCGCGACTACAATTCCATTTTAGAACTTTTCTATCAGCTCAAGAAGATACTTGTGCTCATTGGCAATTAACCCCCGTTTCTACCTCCGAGCCCCAGGCAACCACTGATTGCCTTTCTGTCTCTACAGATTTGCCTTTTCTGGGCATTTCATATAAAGGGAATGATCTATTGTGCAGTCTTCTGTATCTGGCAGCTTTCAACTAGCATAATGTTTTTTCAGATTCGTCCATGCTGTAGCGTGTATCAGTACTTCATTCCTTGTTATGACTAAATAATATTCTCTTGTGTGGGCATTCCATATTTTGTTTACCTGTTCATCTGTTGAGAAGGACACTTGTGCTGTTTCCACTTTTCGGCAATCGTGAATGGTACTGCTATGAACTTTGGTATAACCTTTTGTGGGGCAGTGTTCTCATCTCTCTAGGGTAGGTACCCGGGAGTGGATTTGCTGGGTCACTTGGTAAATTTATGTTTTCCCTGGTGGTGTCTTGAGCAGCCAGTGACCCAGCCTCCTCCTTGGCATTGTGCAGGGTAACAATGGGAGCGCCTGAGAACTTACCAACTAGGTGTTCATAGCATTCATTCCCTAGGAGACTCCCTGTTAGGACTTGTAAAACTCGACCTACCTTTAAATTGAGGGCTGACTCACAGTAGCCATCTGAGGGTGTGATTTCAACACGATGATTCCCTAAAATACAAAAGACATGAAAGCATCTTGAAGACTTGACATCACATAAGATGATAATGTCATATTGCTGCCATCATTAGTATTACTCGCTTATCATCTGCAGTTTGAAAGGATGGGGTTTTAAGCTCTATGTGGTAGGATCAGGAAGCAGCTAAGATCTAACGCAAAGAGCCCTTGACTCTGACGTTTGGTCCCATCACTTCCACTCCCAGCGACGGGAACTTCCTTACAGTGATTTGCCCTTCCAAGCTTTACTTGCTTCACTTTGAAAAACAGGGCCACCAATCTCATCTCTCAGAGGTTCCACAGGATTAAACGAATTGCCGGCACATTCAATCCTGTCCCATGGGGCTGTTGGGTGGTTAAATTACTTGACCCTAACTTTAACCAAGAAAGGTTGTGTATCTCAAAGAAAACTTCAAAGAACTAAAATATGTTGCAAGATGGGCTGCCTAAGATTCTGAGACCAATCCTCCAACACCAGCTGGGTGTCCTACAACTTAATTCTGACACCATCTACTTGGAAACAGTATCAGTCCTACAAGACTGCCCCCAGCCCCTTCAGATGACAGTCATAAGCCCAAGTTGTCATCCGTTCTTCTGACTGACCAGCTATAGAGAGGAGGTTCCAGTGACCGCCCACTCCTAGGGTTTGGTTAATATGCTACAGCAGCTCACAGAACTCAGAGAAACATTTACTTCCTAGACTACAGGTTTATTATAGAAAGACAGAACTCAGGAACAGGCAGATGGAAGAGATGTATAGGGCAAGGTACGTGGGAAGGGCACTTAGCTTCCATGCCCTCTCCAGCCTGCCTCCCTCCCGGAATCTCCACCTGTTCACCACCCAGAAACTCTCCAAACCCATCCTTTTGTTTGATATAGAAGCTTCAGTACACAGGCATGATTGATTACATCACTGGCCACAAGTGATTGACGTCAATCTCCAGCCCCTTTCCCCTCCCGGGAGATCAGGGGGCCAGACTGGAAGTTCCAACCCTCCAATCATATGGTGGGCTCCCCCAGCAACCAGCTTTGGGCTGCCAATCATCTCCCCCCAGCTACAGGGGATTTATGGAAGTCACCTCATTAACAAAACCTAGGTGTGGTTGAAAGGGAATTGTTATGAATAACAAGATACCCATTTCACCTTCATGAGTCTGCAGCCATTTCAGGAACAAAGGACAAAAGACCAAATATTGTAACAAAAGAGACGCCCACTGTTCTTCCAAGGGTTTGGGGAGCTTTGAGCCAGAAACAGAACAAACACCAAAAGTATATTTCTTATTATAAATCACAATATCACACTGCTTCATTTTATTCACTTATTCATTTTATTTCTCTAGAGGATTTATTTGTACAGTATTCTGATATCTCTCTTTTAAATAGAAATAAACAAAAATAATAACACAACACATTGATAAGGCCTTTTTGAAATATGCATTTATATCAATTAGATCATTCAGACGATTTAAACCTGTGGCTCTCAAGCCTGGTTGCTCTTTAGAGTCACCTGAAGAGTATTCAGTCACACTCAATGCCTGGGCAGCTGAGAGAGGTTACAGGACTTGCCCAAGTCATCCATCTAAGTTGTGATGCCACTGGGATTTGAACCCAGGTCTCTAGCTTCAGTCCAGTACTCCATTTCCTACACCATATTTTCTAGAAAGAAAATTGACCTAGAGTTTAACTAAAATTAACTTAAGTGGATGCAAGTCCTGGAGTGGAGAAAGGAAAATTTGAGTCCTTGGCAAAAATATATGGACGAGTGGCAATAACACACTCACCCAGAACAAGTCCACAGGAGAGCCTCACCTCACCTGGCCCAGCGTATGCCGAAACCAGGGCCTGGTTTGTTATAAAACTGCTTACTGTGAAGAAATTCAGAGGGATGTGGAGGTTCTAAAGGGACAGATAAATCTATAAGCAAGACTACTGAGTTGGCAAAACTCCCAGCTCAGCAGTTCAGAGACAAAAACAAAAAGGCTCTGTGGGCAGGTGGGTACCTTTATTATAGGAATCAGCTCTGGGCCCAAGAAGCAATGAGGTCATCAGGGTTCCTGGGATGCGCTGAGGGAAGTGAGTAAAGAAACATGTAATCAGGTGACACCCGGGGGTGGGGGCTACCAACTTAGGGCCTCTCTGCACCCAAGGCCCGAGTAAGTTTCAGCCAACTTGGGAATCATCATGGATTGATGGTGGAGATGCTGACCTGGAAGGAATACACTTGAAGAATGAGAAAACTCACAAGAACAGAATGGGAGTTCAAGATCATCAAGACAAGCCCCTTGTTTTACAGGTTAACGAAAATGAAGACCAGAGAGGGGCAGTGACTTGCTTCAAGGCCACAGAGCTAAGTGGATGGCAGGTCCAAGCCTCCCTGCCCGGTGCTTCTTCCACCATTAAAAACCAAGCATGAAAACATGGGCAAAACACAGACAAGCTCCAGTGATCAGCAGGGAGAAGAGATTTGGGGGGCACCCCTGTATGCACTGTCACTCTCTTCTGCCCCTCAACTCCCTCCTCCAGCCCCCTCCACTCTGCCTAAGGAGGGAGCTGCCACTTTGGTTTCCACTCTGTGTTACAGCGATCAAGAGAACACTATCGAAAGCTGGTTTTACTCTGCCTTTGCTGTGTGTCTTGGGGTTAGTCACTTCATCGCTCTGGGCCTTGGGTTCTCCTTAAGTAAAATGGTATGTGTGAAAAGACAGTTCTAATGATACCCATTATGCCTGGTCTACTCTCTGAACCAGACTGGCAAACTACAACCGATTCTGGCCCACCATCTGTTTTTGTAAATAAAGTTTTATTGGACCACAACCACATCCAATCATTAATGTATTCTCTATGGATGCTTTTGTGCTATACTGGCAGAGTTGAGTAGATGCAACAGAGACCACTGCCTGGCCCGCCATGCTGAGAATATTAACTAGCTGGTCCTCTACAAAAAAAATGCGCTGATCCCTAAAAAACAAACACTCTGCCTACTACCTGTGACATACCCACATACATATATACACACACATCTACCATATATTTATATATTGTCCAGATAATTTTTCTGCTTATGTGTTTGCTTTTAGAAGGAAAATATTTCAAGCATATAGCTAAATATGAAAACAAATGCAATAGATGATCATCATACACTCCAAGGTTTTTTCTATTTTTTTTAAATTTATTTATTATTTATTTTTGTCTGCGTTGGGTCTGTTGTTGCGCGCGGGCTTTCTCTAGTTGCGGCATGCAGGGGCTGCTCTTCATTGCAGTGTGCGGGCTTCTCACTGCAGCGGCTTCTCTTGTTGCGGAGCACGGGCTCTAGGCGCGTGGGCTTCAGTAGTTGTGGCATGTGGGCTCTAGAGCGCAGGCTCAGTAGTTGTAGCACGTGGGCTCAGTAGTTGTGGCTTGTGGGCTCTAGAGTGAAGGCTCAGTAGTTGTGGCGCACGGGCTTAGCTGCTCCGCAGCAGGTGAGATCTTCCCGGACCAGGGATCAAACCCATGTCCCCTGTATTGGCAGGCGGATTCTTAACCACTGCGCCACCAGGGAAGTCCCCACCCCTAGTTTTAACCAATGTTAATATTCAGTTAGATTTTTATGTTTTCAAAATACTGTATCATAGTAATCTATACTTGTAACTAATCTTGAGTTCTTTTAGAAGAAGGAAGAAAAGACATACTCACATGTACCTCGAGCTAAACAACCTGAAGCGTTTAGCACTGTTGTAACATGATTACTGTCATTCTATTTCTGGTTTTTCAGATGGGTGAAAGGGTCTCCCTTATGAGCTCCATGGTCTAAATTACAAGGCACACATTTTACCAGAGATTAAGGAATGAGTTTTTTGAGTTTCTTCAATCAAACAAATAGTTTAATATTAAAGTAAAATGGTATCTGGCAACTGATCCACTTCGCTGTACAGCAGAAACTAATAGAACATTGTAAACCAAATATACCCCAGTAAAGTAAAATGGTGATTTTAGTTAGGACATTTAACCAGAGCTATCTTTTTTTTAAAAAAAAAATTATTTATTTATTTATTTATTTTTGGGTGTGTTGGGTCTTCGTTTCTGTGCAAGGGCTTTCTCTAGTTGCGGCGAGCGGGGGCCACTCTTCATCACAGTGCGTGGGCCTCTCACTGTCGTGGCCTCTCTTGTTGCGGAGCACAGGCTCCAGACGCGCAGGCTCAGTAGTTGTGCCTCACGGGCCCGGTTGCTCCGCGGCATGTGGGATCTTCCTGGACCAGGGATTGAACCTGTGTCCCCTGCATTGGCAGGCAGATTCTCAACCACTGCGCCATCAGGGAAGCCCCAAACCACAGCTATATTAACTAGCAGTTCTTGATGTACTGTGCTTAAATGCTAATATAAATAGGGCAAGATTTAAAGAAAATAAAGCTTGAGATTGAACTGAATGCCCGTTTCTATCCATGCTTACCCCTAATCCAGTTGATGAAATCTTAGTCATAGGAATCAGTCTTAAGAGGAATGTCCTTTTATAATCACTATTTCTTTTGTTAGAAAAAGCAAAACCTTTGAGACTTCTCTGGACGCCAAGGTTTACACAACTTCATTTGAAGTCAAAGTCCCTATAGCCATTTGGTTCCCTAGTGACCTGGTCCCAGCTCACATATAACCAAGGATAGACATTTGTTTCATCTTCTTTAGACATGACAGAGATGGAAAGGGAAGTTTCTGCCTCTCTCATCTGACTTCATCAGCATCATTGTTTGCCTTCCATAACCTCGTAACATTTCTTCACTGTATTCGTTATTTGTCCTTTTGAGGCTCTTTCACAGTGTGTGTGTGTGCGCGCGTGTGTGTGTGTATGTGCGCGCACGCATGCACACATGAGTAGTACCTTCATTCTAATCCTCTTTCAATCCCTCCAATCAATAACAGGGCTCTATATGAGAGAACATAAACTAGCACTGAGGGCTCACCTTTGAAAAATCTCCCTGACCAATGTCCCTCTGATACAGAGCTTAAGGATGTACCAAGGGGGAAAGTGGGGGAGGGAGAAATTAGGAGATTGGGATTGACATATACACACTACTATATATAAAATAGGTAACTAATAAGGACCTACTGTATAGCACAGGGAACTCTACTCAATACTCTCTAATGGCCTATATGGGAAAAGAATCTAAAAAAGAGTGGATATATGTATATGTATAACTGATTCACTTTGTTGTACAGCAGAAACTAACACAACACTGTAAATCAACTATACTCTAATAAAAATTAATTTAAAAAATATACAGTGAAGGGGCTTCCCTGGTGGCACAGTGGTTGAGAGTCTGCCTGCCGATGCAGGGGACACGGGTTCGTGCCCCGGTCCGGGAAGATCCCACATGCCACTAAGTGGCTGGGCCCGTGAGCCATGGCTGCTGAGCCTGCGCGTCCGGAGCCTGTGCTCCGCAACGGGAGAGGCCACAACAGTGAGAGGCCCACATACCGCAAAAAAAAAAAAAAAAAAAAAATATATATAAAAAAAAAAAAAATATATATATATATATATATATATATATACACACAGTGAAATTCAAATGAGCACTTCATATAATTAAGCCTGCTATAGAAATACATATTTCTTCAATTCTTCAAATCTGTAGACCAGAATAACATGAAATATATTTAACATCTTTCACATGCAGAACCACCAACCAAAAAAAAAAACAAGATGTTTCTGATAAAGCCAGACATTTTTTTCTTAAATTTTAGACCCGAAAGTTTGCTAGATTAGCACGTAGTTATACAGTCGTTAAAATAAGCTCTTGAGACAGAAATATACGTTCGTTTTACGACAGCTAGCTCAGTCTGCGCTAATGACGCCACAACGCAAGGGGGGCGGGGCATGGCCAAAATCTAATGTTTCTGCCCATCTTCCCAATTCCACTCTGTGGCACGCTTGTCTCACGGGTGTCCTTCCTCTCTCCAGACTGAAGGGCACAATGTTTTTAAGCTTTGGGATTTAACGTCTCTGCTTCAACCTTCAGAACAGCTCTCCAACCACTCTGAAGCCGTCCCAACCTCCCAAGCTGGGAGCCAAGAGTGTGCTTGACACAGAACCCAAGGGGACCTGGGAATGGTTAATAATGGAAGATTCTCAAATATATCATATGTATCTATTACTAGGAAGATTAATAATGATAAGAATGCCCTTTCTCAGTGCAAGACTTTTCTCTCTTGATACTTAACCTACCCCGGTGGATGAGGTTAAGCTATGCCCCTTAATGAGGAACTATTAAGACACCTATAATTAAAATGACTTTTCTCCCGAGTGCTCAAGGAAAATTACATTTTTTCCCCTTAACAATTATAAAAACAAAATAACGACAGCAAATTTGAAAACGGTAATGTCCCTCCCAATTCCACCCCCTCAAAAAGGCATAAAGGGATGGCTTCAATGCAGAACTGTCATACTTGGGAGGCACAAGGACACCTGGAAAATTTACTCAAAATTCAGGTCCCCAGGCCCAATTCACAATAAACTCCGCTACTTGAGATTTGGGGTCAGGCTCAGGATGTCACCTTTTAATAAAAGCCCAGGCAGTTTGGATACTCGTAGTCCGGAGACTACGCTTTGAGAAACATTGCCACGTGTTCAATACTAGTCTTCTGTTCTTGTATAATATATATCTCCCAATCTTCCAATTCTGTGTTCTAGCTTCTTGTTATCCAGCACATATTTATTTACACTACATTTGTTCTTCATCCTGGTGAAATTTAAGAGATCAGAATTTAAATCCCCAAGCGTCTCTTAAACAGATTTATTCAGATACTTTCTTATTAAGGGGCCAGAGGGCAAGGGCATGTTTACAGTTTCCACTGTGTATTGCCAGACTGCTTTCTCCTAGTGTGGAGAAATTTATATTTAAACTGGCAGATTAAGAGGACCCAATATTCACCATAACGTCACCAGCAATGTGTATTTGAATTTATTTTTACTTTGTTCTGCTAATTTAGTCAGTGTAAAATGGTATCTCAAGGTGGATTTAATTTGCACTTCTTGCATTTCTGGTGAAGATTAATATGTTTCCCTGTGTTTCTTTGCTACTTATAAGTTTCCCAGA